CTATGCAAGTCTATATTAAGACAGCATTAAATGTTTACTTTAATCTGTACTTTCAATCTCAAGAATCAAAAGATTTTTAAAAATGTAATTTCAAATGTGTTGGAATTTAATACACACCAAGAAAGAAAGTAATTTCGTTAACTAAAATTAATTAATGCAGCAATTTATTTAAATTAAATTTTAATACTAAGAAAAGAAAATAATAAAAGTATCAAAAATTTAAAACACTGTTTTTTAACTTTTAAAATCAATATATATATATTGATTTTAAAATTGATATAAATCAGTTGATTTAAATCAATGATTTTTTAAAAAAAAATCATTTGATTTAAATCGTGATTTAAATCAAGCTGATTTAAATTAACGAACTCTGGTTTCTGATAAATTTTTTGGGCAGTTTTTACAGCTTTTTGTAGTTTTTTTTAGTCTTTTTGATATCGTTTTGAAATCCTGATATTTTTATATGTAATTATTACAAGAGTTACAAGAATTATGCTCATTTTAAAACCAATTTGGGGAATACTGAGGATTTAATACTATTATCTTTATATTAACTAAGAATTATGTTTATGTTAAACTATTTCTTTATAAAAATAAGATTTTTTTGAGGAAAAAACTAAAAACCTTCTATATTTAGTTTTTTTAAAAAAAAAATTATGCAAATTTTTGTGAAATACAAGGCCCTTTTTTGTGTTGGATGCCAGGCTGCCCGTTTTGTGAGGATATAGTGCCCTTTTCAGTTTCTTGCACCTTACCCTTTTAGTGGTCTAGAATGAATACTGTTTACAAGTGAATTCGCATTTTGAATAATTAATACCAACTTAATAGAAAGTAGATGTTATCAAATTTTTTTAACAGTGAACTGCTACTTGATTTCTGTTTTAAAGTTTTTTGATGTATACATGTGTTATCCTGTAGGTAACTAATCATCTTCAAATCTTTTCTTGAGAATATAATCAAGGAATAAAATGTAAATACTAATTTTTAGCAAAGCATTGTGAAAAATAAAAAGTTATTTTTAAAAAATATTTTCCATTTTTCAAGAAAATTTTTTTCTTCAAAAAAATGGGCCCCTTAAAATAAAACCTGAATTGACCCCTGTGAGTTATTCAAGGAACTAAATTTTCAAACTTTTTTTCTCAAAGAGGAATACATGTATAAGGAGTAATACATATATAATAAAGAGAATTTAAATTTTAGTATGAAATAAAATATTAAAAATATGTTTCAAGATTTAAATCTCTATTGTAGATTTAATTTGTTATATTTTCATAATATACATTAAAACTAATCAATGCAATTCATTTTTATTGTAGTTTCTCCTTATGAAGGAAGTATAGGAGGCCTTAGAATGCAGAACAACTTTCATCCTTTACATTTCCATCAAGTTCACGGGGATAATATAAAATTAATGAAAAATGGAACAGTGGCATGTAGACATGAAGGTTTCTGCAAAGGTATTGCATTTAGTGACCGGCCGGTTTTAGTTGGTGAGCCTGTGTACATAAAATTTATAGAAATTTCAAGTAATTGGAGTGGAGCTCTAAGAATTGGTTTTACTATGAATGATCCTATATCAATGAAATCTAAACTCCCAAGATATGCCTGTCCAGATCTTACCTCAATAAATGGAAACTGGGCTAAAGCTATTGCTGAAAGAATGGCTCAAAAAGACTCTATTCTTTTTTATTATGTGGATCAAAATGGTGATGTTCATTATGGTATTGATTCTGAAGAACATGGTATATTTTTTGGAGGAGTAAATACTTCTGAAAAATTATGGGCTGTTCTAGATATTTATGGAAATACCACTGCAGTCGAGTTTATTGGTGAGTTAACCCTACTGTACATGCTTTCTTAATTTAAACTATGAATGGTTTCCAAAGTAAGACAAATAAGATTTTTATATTATTTTATGGAATCCTGAAGTAAATTTAAATAGAATGTGTTCATGTTTAATTGGAGCATGAATTTCCTATATAAATAGCAGTTATAAGCATCAAAAAGTATTATTTGAGTTTTTAGAATTCAGAAATTTTTCTTTACATTAAAGTTTCAGAAATTTTAATTTACATATTGTGATGCATGTCTTGGAAAAAAAAAAGAAGAAGATTTTTGGTCTTTTATTTGTTTGTTTCAATAACTGAAGGGGGAAGGGTTTGTTTGAAATAAAGGGCAGTTTTTATTAAAACAAAATATTTTTCAAAAACAGATAATATGAAAGAACCATAATGCTATGAATTATAATGATGTGGTTAAATGATGGAAATAATATGGAATAACAGTTTTGCACTTTACAGCTGTTCCTTCAAACTAACAAGTTTTGAAATAAAGAAGTGTTAAGAGCAATAACTTTAAACTACTTTTAATTATAATACTCAATTTACCAACTTTTACAATCAAATTAATTTTATCATTATTAAATCAGCAAGAAGTAAATTTGGAAAATGATAATAAAATTGCTAAACTCCAAATCAGCATATTTACATTTTATCAACTTAGAAATATTATAGGCCAGAACAATGCATGCTTCTTGCAGATAATAATTTTATAGAAATTTTAATGCTAATAACAAATTTAAAAGCACCAAACTTATTAAATTTGTTAAGTATAATACACAAAAATAAAATGTAACAACCTAAGTTACTTTTGATCTAGTGATCATATTTTCGCACTCTAGAACTCAATCTTAATAGTTTTAAGGAGGGATCCCTTCAAACCATTAAACCTAGTGCGAGTGATATTTTAAGTAACAAAATCTACACAAAAATGTACTTGCTCTGATTTAACATCCCGTTTTTTCGATAGATTTGAATATCCAATCCTAAAAATAGGGGCGGTACCTGCACTTTGAGAAGTATGGCCTCAATAGTTTGGTCTGGAGGGTGGGTGAAAATTTGGGTCTCTTAAAGTTAATTTTACTTTTGCGTTAGTCCCCATGTCTCAAGACTTTTTTATGTGAATCAAAAAATACTTCTGTATTTTTCAATTTTGTAATTTTTTATAAGCGAAAAGAACTTTAGTTATATATGTGTTTTTATTATTTTGCAACATTTTTTTAAAGATAATTTCTTATGGGCTTTATTCTTTTATCTGCACTTTTTTTTTATAAAGTAGGAACTTGATGTTTTTAGTATTTAAAGAATTTAGCACAATTGTTTTTGTTTGTCATATTTTTTTAAAACGATTTTTTAAATTAAAAGCTATATTATACACTTTCATTACTTTCCAATTTGTTCAATCAAAAAAAGTTTGTTAATATAGGAAATTGATATTTTTAGCATTTAAAGAATTAAGCACAATTGTTTTTTTGTCATATGCTTTTTTATAATTTTTTAAATAAATTTTTAAATTAATGATGCTATACACTTGCATTTTTTTCAATTCATAGTTTTAAATTAAATTAATTATTAAATTACTTATTATATTTTTTTATGTAATACATTAAATATACATTACTTGATGGCAAGTAAAATAAAATGCTACATTTTTATTTTATAATTGTCGTTGAACAATCTACCCAATTTTGGGTTTACGTCTACTAATGTTTAGCTCCGTAGCCTTATAATTTTAAATCCAATCCAGTTGACGAGAACTACTGGATCAAATATTGGGTGAAATTTTCCCTTCAGGGAGAACTTTTTGTTGGAACTAACCTGCATTTGTGTTACCAGGGGTCTGTCCAGACATTTTGTGAAAGGTCCGTTTTTCGTGAAATTGTGAAAAAATTACTCACATTTTTTCAATCAGGGTCCGCTTTTATGAATTTGTGCAAATAGTGTCCGTTATTGCAAAAAAAAACTTTTTCAAGTAGTTTTTGAATTGTAAAGACATACATGATAATGCTCAACACTGTAAAATTATAATTAAAAAAATTAAATTTTAAAAAATAAACAACAATTGCTGCTTCTAAATTAGAGATGCAACATACAAATATTTGGTATTTAGCCTATACTGCTGAACGCAGAATATTCATTTCGGACGAATAATGGAAGAATCGTCTGCCGAAGACAAAACTTATTCGTTAACATCCATCTTTCCTGTTTTCTGCCATGGAAAGGGTTTATTCGATTGACAAAATAATAATGAAGATAAACAAATTTGTGAAGGGTCCGATTGAAAGAAAAATAATTTTGTGAAGGGTCCGTTTTTAAGTTAAAATATTTTGTGAAGGGTCCGTTTTTATGAAAAGATATTTTGTGAAGGGTCCGTTGACGGACCCAAATTTCTTCTAAACAGACCCCTGGTTACATAAGGAGAAAAACCATGAAAACCCCCCTAGATAGCTTGATGACAAGGAACCTAATCCCTGATCTGTCTATCACTGATGATATTTTACAGCAGCACTCTGGTTGGTGCGAGCAGCATTTGTATTGACCAGCCATCGCTGAGATTTGAACACGGTTCATCTCATTGGAAGATGAATGCTCTATCACCTGAGCCACCATGGCTCAATAAATAATCTATAGTCATAATCACAGATTGTCAAGTTGTAATCAATCAAGATAAGCACATATTTTTTTTGTTATTCCAGAGCCAAGATCATCAATTCAAGATTTCATTAGTGAATCTGATCATAACATTATACCCGTAAACAGTGATTTTCAATTAAGTCATACAGAGAATTCATTTATAGTAGGATCAAGGATGTCCTTTCATACTACGCATGGGAAAAATGCAGTATTGAAAAGATATAGGTAATTTTTTCATTGTTTTTTCTAATATTTTTTTAAAGGAATATCACCTAAATTGCCTTTTGATAACTATTACTTTTGCTCAATTTAAAGAAATGTTAATCCTTGTCTTAAAATGTTCAATGATGAAAATAAACCAAGCTTTATTTTTTTTTATTATATATTTTTGAAAAATTAATCGCACTAAATTTTGTTGTCCATTTAAGAGAATGTGTCTTCTCTTTCAAAATACATTTTTCTAAATAATATTTTTTTTCCAATTACCTTTCAGAATTGAATATTCAAATACTGTAATTCTTTACCCTGAACTTCAAAATTTCTGCTTTTGTGCAGTTTTTCTTATGTTAATTAATTAATAGAAAAATTGGAATGTGTGTGTGTATATGGGCAGATCTCTAAAACCTTTAACTTTTGATAATAATAGAAAATAATAGGCACACTATTTTTACACCTCCAGAATTGTTTGAAAATGTATAAAATATCAGAAAATAATTGTGAACATCGAAAATTTTGATGACCTGATAAGTATCAACAAAAAATATAAATTTTTGAACNAAATAATAGAAAATAATAGGCACACTATTTTTACACCTCCAGAATTGTTTGAAAATGTATAAAATATCAGAAAATAATCGTGAACATCGAAAATTTTGATGACCTTATAAGTATAAACAAAAAATATAAATTTTTGAACTAATTTTTCTAGATTTATATACATTTCATTAAAAATCATAAAAACGACAAAAGTATCATTTATTTAATAAACATATAAACTTATTGAACCTATTTTTCTTTCATTGAGCAATTTTTTCTTTTTAATAATTTCATCCATATTTACCCTTTAATTTTCATCAAAAATTACTAGTATCGTAAATGAATTGAAAAATTTTAATATTAAGTTAAATTGTTATAAAATGTATAAAAAGGCTTACTTTAATTATTTTCAGTCAAAAAATATCTTCAATTAGTAAAACATAGGGAAAAAACTAAGTTCTGATATGTTAAATTCAATTAATTAATCCTGAGGTTACGATTTGACAGGGTTATGGTCTGGACAACCTAGAGAATAGATCGAAAACTTTACTCGGATGCAACGCAATGGGATGCACACAACACAGAAAATAAAGCAGGCAATGACAAATGTGTGATCAAAATTTTGATTGATTTTAATATTTACTTTTTAGATCTGCGTCTGATTACGGTCTTGAGATTGTAACTGTTACCTTACCGAATGACAGTTTGTGATTATAAACCTAGAAAAATTAGTTCAAAAATATTAATTTTTTGTTTATACTTATAAGGGCATCAAAATTTTCGATGTTCACGATTATTTTCTGATATTTTATACATTTCCAAACAATTCTGAAGGTGTAAAAATAGTGGGCCTATTATTTTTTTTAATTTTTTTTTATTNCATCTGTGTGTGTATGCTTGTTATTTTATCAATTTGTTGTCATTTGCATTCTTTATTAATATTTCATTAAAATATTTATTTTCATTATTTAATTATTTCGTATGTTTTTCTAAAAATACTCACAAGGAGTAAGGAAATATGCACTTCACATTTTCTATCTAAAATATATTTTTGAATAAATAGAATATAGGTAAAATGTTATTACTGTCCCATGTCTCCAACGCACATTTCTAAATTTTCTAAGTAATTAACTATATTATGAAAAAATTAGTGATAAATCCGTACATATTCTGATATAGTATGACTGTTTACTTGAATATCCAATCAAAGAATGAAACTGATTTGAGCAAATTAAGAAAAAGGCAAATTAAGAAGATAACATTTAGGAGCAAAAAATTCATTTCAGGAACAAAAAATCTTAAATTTCACTCCATAAGCCTATTTATTTATGTGGGCTTCAATATCGGCTGAATTAGTTGAACGTCTTTATAATACATTGAATTAAAAAATTCTAATTACAGAAATTAAAAGGAAAATTATTATTTTCTAAGGTAATTTAGAAATACCCAATGGCTGAAAGAAAATCTGTTTTATTATTACAAATTTAAACCTAACAATTTAATCAATCAAAGTATTCTTAAAAATGTCAAAGTTGGAATTCATATGTGTTAAACTAATAACATTAAACTTAAAATCTCTTCTTTTATCGTATAATCCAATTAAAAAATTTTTTTGTTTTGAAGTTTAACATCAGGATCTAAAAAATTAGCGTCTTAATCATCTGATTTAGTCTTCTTTAAATTAAGATCATTAGTATAAATATCTTTACAATCAAAAATAATTAAATCGTCAATAAATCTAAACCCAATTAATGAATTATGTTGTAAAAATTACTGTTCATAAAAATGTAAGAAAATATTAACAAATGCACTTGAATAACAATTTCCCATTGAGATACCTTGAGTTTGTCTGTAAAAACAAATACCACTAAATAGGTAAATTTCAAAATGTTTACATTACATAAATTAATCCCATCTTTCCTAATGTCTTCATTACTCAAATATTTATCAAGAACTTCTGAATTCCTTAAATTATTGTGGGTTATACTCGTAAATAAATTTTCAAAACTACATGTAAGAATACTATTAATTTTATTGTAATTTAAATATTTAATAACGTCTTGGTTGTTATTTATAATAAAATATTTATCACAAGAAGTAATTTATTTTAAATGATGTTTAAATATTTAAAAAATCTTTTACCAAAAACAGAATTATAACATCCAGTACTGCAAGTAACAAATCTAAATTTAATCATTTATTTGTCGAATTTAATTGTTGGAAATAAAAAAAGATAATTAATGCTATTGATTTTTAAGCCTATTTTCTTGGATAAAGCCAAAATTCGATTGTCAATTTCTCTTTTAGAATTATTAATTTTGACAAAAGTATTATTGTTGTATAAATTCTTTACTCATTAAATGTCAAAATTTTTTGAAAATAAAGCAAAAAATATTTGATGCTTTGTCAACAACACACATAATAAAATTATATTTCAATTCCTTAATGGATTTTATAATATTAGAATTCAAATGAAAATCCTGGTATTTTATATTATTGTTCAAAATTAAAAAAATTTTTTTGTAAAATTTGTAACAAAATTTCCATTGACTAAATCCCTCTACAGGCCATTTAAATTTTCTAGAGCATTTTGCAGTAAAACTATCCAAATCTTTACTAATAGAAACTGGAATAAATTTTAAATTATATTTTTTTCTTGATCTAAACTTAGTCCCAAGTCTCATAAGAAATCTTAGATCTTCATTTTTGATTAAGTTAAGATCACCTGTAACAATGTGTTTAAAATCATTCTTAACAAAATCCTTATAATGCTCTAGTTCACATAAGGATTAAGAAAAAGACTTCTGCACTAGTAAAAAGTTAGTGAAAATTTTACTGGACAGTTTGAATGAAAAGTTTTATTGGTTGCATGCGCGAGGTAAACAAAAAAGGAAATTATGTGGCCTTTAAAAAATACCACCAAAGCCAATTTCTTCCAGTTTCTATGATTGTATGTTATATTGAACTGCTGAATTATTTTATTTATAGATTACTTACTGAATGTCATTTCAGGTAGATATTTTATACTGATTATGGATGAACACAATTGTTTATTGATGGATATCATAGAGGTGGTATAAGGGGTTAAAGAGAACATCACAATTTATTTCGTGGAAAGAAGTGGGGCCCTACATGTAACATACGACTAGTTTGCAAAGCTTGCCACATTTTGCACACGTCTTTGAAATTGCATTATTTGGGCACATTATCACAACTTCGTTTTTTCAGTTTCTCCTTTGTCAAATATATGTGGATCTACAAATATTTATTTTTATTTTTTGTTTAAGAAAGTAAAACTGAAATTTCTTTTTAATTATTAATTATGGTATTTCTGTGATGCTTGACGAGAAATAAAAAAAACACTTAAACAGTTTTATTAGAAAAGGTTTAAAGGTTAATTTCAATCAATGTTTATTTACATTTGTACTAAACAATAAAAAAAATAAGACCCTTCTGTTTAAAAACCAGTTAAATAAAAAAAAAAATATGCACATTGAAATAATGATAAATCACTTCATCTAACCATGTGAAACTTTAATACATAATAAACATTTCAAAATTAGTTACAATTATTCACAATTTAACATTTTTATTTTGGTATTTGCGTTTTTAGTAAGGTAGCACAAACTGAAAAAATAAAATTCTATTACTACATATTTATTTATCTGTTTCTAAAATATTCAATTGATGACAAATCCATTTTCCACTATAGAACCTAATTTATTTTTAAAAAAAATGAGGTTTTAAAATTGGTGTGATACAATATAATTATTTTAATACCATTTTTATAGATAATTTAACTATTAAATTCTTCAGTACATATTCAGAATGAAATTTTAAACAGTGACAGATAAAATATTTAAATTACAGTTAGCTTTTCTTCCATTTCTTCTTGGCCAAAATGTTTTACTTCATTATGTCAAATAGAACTGCTATATGAATATGTAAATAAAGAAATGTATTACAAAATACGCCGACTGGCTTGTGTTGGGGGCAGGGAACTGTCCTTTCATTAGAAAGGTCCTGGGTTCGAATCCCGGGCAAGGCATGGATGTTTCTTTCTCTCTCTGTGTGCTCTATGTCCTTTCTCTTTTGTGTGTGAATGTGACCCGCCCTATAAACGGGTTGTGGTTGTGTGAATGCCATGGCAGAAGTTAAATTCCTGGCCATAGATGGCTCCACTGAAAAACAGGAACGTTCGCACCCCCCACTGCCTAAACAAGCATACGACAAAAAAAAATTACAAAATATAGCTCAATAATTTTGAGTTAAGAAACAAATGTTTATGTTTAGTTTTGTGGAATGTTTTACTACTAAAAAACAAAAAAATTAAATTTCTCTTTTAGTTTTCTAAATCTTTGTTTTAAAATTATAAACTATATGTCGATTATATTTCCCACCAGTGGCAAACTTTTCTATGACTAATTGTTTCATTTCTGTTCTCCGAAAGTAAACGATTCACTGGTAAATAAGTGTAGAATGTATAAATTATCAAACCTTACAAATTATCATAACTATTACTTTATATTATAAAATTGCCTATAATTATTACCTTAAAAATTATCAAACTATGAAATGTGTATAAACTAAAAATATATCTACAATAGATATAAATAATCTTAACTGTAAAATGTTACATATCCCCTTTATGGATTTTTCTTTACAGTTAAAAGCACAACAGTATGTTTAACCATTTTTAAGTAGGGCTTTTAACTAAACATCACTGAGCTCCATGTAAAACCATACCCCAGTTGAAAGAAGTGTCTCCTAATCAATGGTTAAAACTTATACAGCAGTCCAATCTGTAGATCCCCTCTTTAGAAAACTGATGCTTCCTCTAACCCATTTATATCATTTCCATAATAGATATCACATAAGTTTGTTGCTTTATTATTATGATTTTTTTATTATAGACAAATGAATATCATATTAGAATTTTCATTTTTTTACTTATTTTATATAATGCAAATAAGACTAGTTATGTTCTATTTTACTTTATAATTTTGTTTCTAATTCCTTTAATACAGGCTAGTGGCATCTAGAAAAAAAGGATCATCTAATTTGTCCTATGTGTTTACGGATCGACCATTAAATATTAAAGAAAAACTTCAAATTAAGGTCATTAATATAGAACCTCAAGCTAGTGGGACTTTCAACTATGGCATTACAAGTTGTAATCCATCATCTCTTCTTCCTGATGAACTGCCACCCCTTGCTGAGGCTTTAGTTGATCGCCTAGAATATTGGGTTGTCAGAAATGACACTAATGCATATAAAATACATGATATTATCACTTTTAGTATTAATGAGGAAGGTAATCCTAATTCTAAAATTTTTTTGTTATATTTACCATTACATAGTATATTTAAAGTTTTTTTTTCTAATTTCTTGTATTTGATAAAAAATGTATTTTTGATTTTTATATAAATCAGCTTACTGTTTATTATGTGGGAAACATGGAAAATTGATTTTATAATTTTAAACATTGTTATTGACTAAGCTTTTTCTTACAAAAACTACTTTTTTACAATATTTATTATTTTTACTCATATCATGAGATTATCTTTAAAGATTACCAAATTAATATGATCCACTTTATGTTAATTTGGTAAAAATTATTCAAATTCTGTCACTTTATGTAATGGTCAGAAAAAGTCATATGTATAAAAAAATGGTATAGACAAATTTTTAAAATGTATTAATTGAAATTAATAGGTAATGAAAAAGGTGGGAAACAAGTGAAATAAATGAATAAATTAAAAATGATAATGTCCAAATATTCCTTATTTTAGTATGTGTTTAGTATACTCCATTTTCTGAGAATACAAATGAAGCTTTTTAAAAATATTTAAGAAATTGAATCTTTTATTTTAATTAATAAAAATCACTAGTAGAAATCGCAAAATTCGATAGTTCCTATTAAGAAACCGTCTAATAATAATACATAAGATTCAGTTATTGATTACCACAGGATTCATTGTTTAAATCTTTTAGAAAATTCAGTCTTTCTATGTAAAAGAATCTCAATTAATGATTTATTATCAAATTTTTATGGTGATGAACTTGAGGGGAGGGGGCTCATATGCTTATTTATTATTTTAAGCAAATCTTGTAGGATAGACTTTCATAGTTGCAAAATTATTGACTGTTCTCTTATGTGTGATATTAAAAATTGATTTCAATCAACAATACAGTATTCGCACCATAGAATTTTTAAATGATAAATTGAGAAATTATCTACTATTGCTTTTGTACATGGCTTATTCACTTTACTTTCATTCGAGATAATTGAAACCACTGTAGCCTTAATGAAGGAAATTTCTATTACAAATTTTAGTTATATATGAATATGAGGGAAATATCTAATTGATACTGAAAATTTTTTTTTGCAGCAGTATTTTAAAAATTTTGCATTCATTGATTATGAGTTATTCAGTATTGATAAAATTATACTGGAAACTTAAAACTTTCTGTTCTAAGGAAGGTAATTGTGAAATTAAAAATAGTATATTTTATTACTCTTTTGTGATAAAATTTGCTTTTATTATATTTCAGTAAAGCTAATTATACTTTTTTTAGTGTGCTGTTTACTTTTTTAAAAGTAGTCTGGTCTATGCATACTGTTCCAAAAAATGTCTTTATTTTTTTCCTTGGCCTATTACAAAGTCTGAACTATACCACTTATATTTTGTATTAGTTAATATATGAGTCTTGTCCATAAAATAAGGTTCCCAACTGATTTTCACAGGGGTGTGCGGATGAGCGTTGTCCTGATGGAGACGCACTCCATTTGTGAGCATGCCTCTCATCTTGTTTTGAATCGCGAAATTGTTGTGCCGGTAGGCAGGAATTCGCACAACAGCAACCCTTTCCTGTCCCAAAAGACACTCGTCATCACTTTGCCGGCAGACAGAATTTGCTTAAACTTCTTCAGCTTCGGCGAGCCTTGATGTTTCCACTAACGGGATTGTTATTTTGCTTCCGGTGTCATGTAGTGGACCCAGGTCTCGTCCCCAGTGACAACCAAGTCCAAAAATTCCTCGCCATCGGTTTCGTAGGCATGAAGAAATTCGTGGACCACATCTACACGCCGTTTGTTGTCATCCGTCAGCATTTTCGGGACCCACCTTGCGCAAACCTAGGCATATCTTAAACGGTCTCTCAAAATGTTGTTAATGCAGGAATGCAGGATCATCTCACTGAGATCCTGAACCGTCACCCTTTGATCTTTCAGCATTGCGTCTTCCACTTTCGCAGTCGCTTCGTCCGAAAACAATGGCCAGCCAGAAGGTTTTCGTCATGGACGTCCATACATCCGTCTTTGAATTCTCTGTACCATTTGCATCCTGTACACCTTACACAGTTGGGAATGAATGTCCACCGGTGGAGCCTTTTTTACACACAAAAAATGAATCATAGCGTATTTCGCACCTGGCGTGAAAAACAAAAGGAAGCTCCATTTTTCACGGCTACCAAGACAAGAATAAACATTGTAGACAGCTCGCCGGGGCGGGAACTGGGGAAAAGGGAACTAAGCTACACGCCAGTCTCGCCACATCCCGCCTAACAGTGTTCCTAGCGTCCACAGCTCCTTGGGAACCTTATTTTATGGACAACCCTTGTATTTATAATGATTGTGAAAGCTATATCTATATATATATATATATATGAAGACATTATATGCACACAATAATTTACAATAATTTTGTATTTATATTCTTATAAATTTAAAATTTGTTTTGCTAAATTTTTGCTGTGAATCAGTTGTATCCTTTGTGCTATTTTGATTTATTTTCTAACTTCTTAAAATTTCTCTAATTGAAAAAAGATTTTTTATTAATGGAAAAAAAGAGTTTCTAAAGCGATTTCAGTTTTTTTTATGTTAATGATTTACATTTTAATTTTATAAACTAATTAATTTGTTTTCTTAAATTTTGAACTACATTTTTAATATTTTCCTTTTTTTAAAAGTAAATGCAATTTTTTTTAGGTGAAGTACAAGTTTTAAAAAATTCTGTAAGATCCTCTAGGTTCCATGTAGATTCAACATTGCCACTGTGGGTTTTTTTAAATTTATCTGGTATTGTGTCTGAAGTGCGTATTATTGGTGAGTTTTAACAGTATTTTCTACTTATGCATTATGTTTAAACAGATATTACCTACAACTTTAAATGTATTAGCTACATAAATTGAAAAAAAAACCTTCAGATTTCGAAGAAAACAGCTTCACTTCTGATTTTATTACTTTATTATATGTGAGTTTTAATTGTTAGTTTTAATCCATGTTTATATTTTATCTCGGTTGCAGGTTTTCATCATGAGACAAATAGATCTATGCAATTTCAAATATGTTAAATTACTTAAGCATGAAAGGTTATAATCAGTGCTCTCTTATAATAGTTTAGGATCACCCAGTGCAAATACTGTTTCATATATATTACATTTGAAGAAAGAGATATATGAAAAAAATTGGGAAAAATGGCAATTGTCTCTGCTTCAGTCGTCCCAACCTTTGTGCTTCATGTCTCAATTTTTTCACAGATGAGTTCAAATACGCCATGTAACTAGAGTCCTTTTTTTTTTTGCATTCCTTCGTATAGGAGAGAGACGGTTAGAGTCGGCTTCGTTTTGGGCAAAGAAAAGAAACAACTTAATCAGTCTGTTAAATTAATTTATGCTATGCTAATGATGAACTAATGTTTGATAGTCTGACAATTCACCTACTTGTTGCTTGAAGATTGCTGAAAATCATATCTGCTTATTTGGTTTATGTCATTTAAAAACGTCCAAAGACTGTGTTTGCTAAAAATGTTAGGCTTGTTATTTGTCAACTCTGCAATAAATTGAAGTTTCCCATTTGAAATGTTGGAAATGATTGATAATCTGGACTCATTAGTTAATCTAGACTCACACCTTACTTCCACATCTTTGAAAGTAGTAGATTGTTTTGAATATTTTCTTGTCTAGTGATATTGAGTAATGCTACTAAAAAGTTTAAAATTGTTTAAAAAATCCCTAACAAATGTTAAGAAACTAATGATATATTAAGTAAATATTAAAGTGAAGTGAAATTATTTAGGCATTTAAAAATAAAAATTTATTTCATAAAATCAGTTTTGCTTAAAAAATGCATGTTTTTAGCAGAGCTGTGGAGTAGGTCGTTGAAATGCTTGACTTATGAATTTTCGGAGGACCTACTTACCTTGTATTAGAGTAGAAAGTATTGGTATTAAGTAAATGCTGATTTAAAATTATATATTTCTATTTTTTATACTAACTAGAGGAAAAAATAAGTTTTAACAATGATATTTGTACTAAATATAGAAATAGTTCAAAACCATCGTATAAAGAAAACTAGTTATCAATATCTCACTTGCACGCACATTAACATATTATAAGAATATTCTTAAATGAATATTTATGAACTAAAAGGCTATTACAAGTTATACATTAAATTCCTTTACATTATTTTCTTATTTAACCATTTAGCAAAATAAATTTATTTTAGAGTATATAAATCCAAAGATAATTTAATTATAAAACATGGTATAAACATGATTGTAAAATTATAAAACATGGCATATGTGTGTAATCATGCAATATAGATGATTTTCAAAAAACTTTAACTTTTGCATTCAATGCAAAAACATTAATATTTAAGACAATTAGGTTGATAATTTTTATATTAAGTCCATGTATTTAAGTATACAAATCAATTCTTCATTTCTTATCACTTCTAAGTTAATAGCTTTATTAGCAATTACTTATATAAGGTCTAATTTTTTCGTAGGCTCACCTGACGCCTATGAATGTGATATTACTGATCAATTTGGAAAACTTACTGTTACTTTGCCATCTAACATTCCTTCTATGGATGAGATTGCTGGTCCATCAAGTATGTCTCGTTATTTAAAGTTTGTTTTGTTTATTTTCTGCGTGTATGGACTTTTATGTATTGTGAAAATGCTTCTTACAGTTTTTAAGACTAAATTGTACATTTAAAATTTTTTATTTATTTATTTCTGATCACAGATAAATATTTTTTAAAAAGGATAAAATCGGAATTGACATTTACCATGCTCAGTTTTTATATTTTAGCAAGTTTTGCTGTTACCCTGATATCTTTAATAAAAAAATATTTTTTCCTTTTTTGTCCTGATTTTAATCTTTTTGTCCTGATATTCTTGATTTTTGTGCACTCAGAACATTTTATTTTCTAAGAATACACAAATGTGGATTAAAAAATAATAAATTTGAACTTTTGATTCAATTACTTTTTACTTGAAAAAATAATGCTAGTAAAAATAGCAAAATTCGATTGTTTGAAACTTTGGGACAATCCACTAATTATATACATGGTTCAGAAATATAGCCTTTCCTGCAAGATTCATACTTTCAAATTTCTTAGGAATTTAGTCATTTTATAAAAAAGAAGCTCAATTAACAATTTATATAGTCAAATTTTTTATGGTGATGAATTTAGGGATCTATGTTTAACTGTTTTTTTCAGCAATTGATAACTATTGTTACTGCTATACAATAAGTTTACTGTTATTTCTGCAGTAACAGATTTGTAGGGTATAGTTGTATAGTTCATAATTATGTCTCTGTCATCTGATTTTAAAAGTAATAAATTCCAATTGACAATACAGTGATCACATCACGGAATTTTTTAATGTTGAATTGAGGGATCATCCTCTTAATTACTTTTATAGTAATATGTGAAGTGGCATATTCACTATATTTTCATATCGAGATAATTAACCTTATTTTAAAATTATTTAATTAAGGAAGTTTTGAATTTAATTACAAATTTGAATTTAATATTGGTTTGAGGGAATATTAACTAATTGATACTGATTATTTTTTTTTACAATAGTACTATAAAAATTTAATTATATTAATCAGAAACTATTATGAGTTGGTCAGAGCTTCATTAATAAAGTTATACTGAAAACTGTTTAAACGTTTTATTTTCAAAATATTATCAGGAAATTAAATTGTTTTGCAGTAAAATTTGCCTTTATTTTAAAGTGAAGCAAACTATTTTATCTTTTGTCTTTTAATTTGTCTTTTTAATTTTTCGTATGCTCATTTTATAAGGAGTCTGGTATATGTACACTGTTAAAAGAATGCCCTATTTTTTTCCTGATCTTATTGAAATTGCCCTGATTTTTTTTTCTTCATGGGTCAACTACAGTACCTGATGTTAATTTAACATTTGGTTATAGATTTTGAGATTGCTATGAATCATGACATTTAGTGTGATATTGCTTAATTAGTTGTATGATATTTTAAAGATGCTCCTGAATATTTAATACTTTTAAAATAGTTTTACTTGAATAATTTTTTTTCTAGGTGAAGATACAAATTCTGATAAAATATGTGTCGTTTGTTTTGAAGAGCTTGCCAATTGTGCATTATACCGGTGTGGTCATGTGTGTATGTGCTATGATTGTGCACACAAAATGTGGAATCCTGGTTCTAATGTTCAATGTCCTATTTGCCGTGAACCTATACGTGATGTAATAAAAATTTATACTTAATTGTATAGTGTGAAAGACATTTGATCTGAGTGTGTTGTAAATATTTTAAGAAGTATTTCAGTGTTTTAAAAGTTTGTAAAATTAATTAAAAATACTTAGATTCAAATCCTTTTATGAAAAGGTTTCTTTTTTATTTTGAAATCTTACTTTCCTATGTAAGTTCCTTACTTTTTATTAATTATTAAATATGAAAATTCAATTTATTAACTTGATAGAGAAAAAGAGAAGGAAAAGATTTTATTTTGACATTTTCTTTGATATTTTAAATTTATTGACAGCATTTACAAATAAATTTCCAACAAAAATGACAAAATCTAGCAGTTTTGAGTAAAATCTATCCATCATAAATATGTATGAAGAGGTTCTGGTGATGCATTTTTATTTATGGATTGCACTCAGATATTGTTGGTTTTATTAAGGTTATCCTACTATATATTGTAATTTGAAAAGTAAATGGTTTCTAAGATGACTCAAATTTCAAACTTATTTTAAGTCATTTTAATAAACCAGACTTTTGTTAAAAAACATAGAAATTTAAAGTATTTAAATGAAAGGAAAACAGGTAATTGAATTTAAATTTAATTGCGAAGAGGAAATCAAATTATTGATATTTTGTGTATTAAATATTTTTTTTGTGTAGATATATTTAGCAGAAACATTGGTTGGTACTGACATTAAAAATTTTCTTCTTTTTAATTTCATCCAAACAATTATTTTTCTTATTTTACTATTTTTTTTATGTTCAGTTTCCGAGCCATGTAAATCTTATGAATGAGGGTCATTATTTTAATAATTTTCCACTTGGGATTATTTTTTTCATATTATATAACTATAATGAAGAAAATTAGCCATTCCAAACCTGCTGTGTATAGAGTTATTTTTTTAAAAGTTACTTTATTCCTTATTTTCATTTAAATGTGTTGAAGTTCTTTAATATTTAAAATATTTTAATGAAAGATATATTGCAAATTATAGCTTTATTAATATGTATGAGACCAAAAAACTAAAGCGGAAAGATATACCTGTCAATGGGAAAACTTCATTATTTTCAAAACCTGGAGTGGAAAATGCTGACACGTTTCTCAAAACGAGACACTCACTATCAAGACCCACTAACACAGGTAATGTATTCATTATGGGTGTCTTGTTTTAAATTGTTGAAACTTGTCTAACTTTTCCACCTTAATTTTTCCATCAAATTTTAAAGTCTTAAGATATAATTTTTGCTCATTACTACTTTAAAACGCAAAATTTGTGCCAATCAACTAAATAATTAAACAAATCAATCAATCAAATAATTAAGCAAATCAATCAATCAAATAATTAAGCAAACCAATTAATCAAATGAAACAAATCAGCCAAATTAATTCCTCAAACAAATAGTTAAACAAATCATCAATATTATTAATTAATCAATCAAATAATTTAGCAAATTGTTATCGATCAGATCAATCAAACAAATCATCATCACTCAGAGATATCCACTTGTTTCTCATCATAAATATTCTCACATCCTTTAATGAGACTTCCTTTTTACTTCTTTATTATTGTATCATACAAGTGTTATAGCCGTAATCCTCACAAATCTGTTTGGGAACTTCAATCGGTTTAGTTTTTCTTGCATTCAAAAAGTGAATATCTGGTTGTAGCTCATATATGGTACGATACTTGTTCCGTTAATCTGTTTAATTGAAAGTATGTAAAGCAAATAAAGAGATCAGCTGACACTATACTTGGTGAAGGTAAATAGATTAGCCGACACATTGGTGATCTCTAAAATACTTTAGACGGTAAGCAAATGAGTTAAATAAGTGAAATTACTGGTGGGAAAATGTGAGAGCTGCAAAAATTAAAAATGGAATTCAGTTCTTAAAATCTTATGCTTTTCATATTGAGCTTAATTAAAAAAAAAAAAGTAATTTTTTTCCATCAATCTTTTTTTTTAAAATGTACTTTTAAGCTATGATGCATATCTTTTGGAATTTTATCTATAGTGATTATTACAGATTTATGACTTCAATATTTAATAGAGTTTTTAAATTTGCATGCATTATATTTCAACATGCCAATGTAATATGATAATATCCCATAAGTCAGATTTCTATATTTATTGTGAAATAAAACTAATCATGAATTATCTTCTTTTTTTTTTTAAATAAGTGAACCTTTTTATTTGTTATTTTCATGTTGGTTTGATGTATGCATTTTTCCTCTTTTCATTTTATTCACATTTCTGCAGTAGGATTTTAATAGATATTGAATAAAGTTAATGGTACTGATTTAAAAAGTTGCAAATAGAAATAATTCTATGAAATTAATTTAATGAAAAGAGTTCTATGGAATTAAATTTTATTTGTTAATTTTTGACAAAACTGTTTATTTTAGAATTTAATGTGAAGCTATTGTACTAAAACTTTATTAAATACATAGGGCACTTCTTTTCCAATAAATTGGTAAGAAACCTAGTTGCCATGTATATTATTTGTATTGCCATGTATATTATAATGGACTGCACTCCATAATAAATAATTTAGATTCATAAGTACCAAATTTTATATTATTGCAAAATAATAGCCACATAATTGTGGCCCTCATAATGAAAAAAAAATTTAAAATGGATTTAGGTAAGAGTAAAAAAGAAAGTAAATTTTATATCAAAAGAAAACCATGTAAAAAGATAGGTTTTTTTTCTTGTATATTATTATGTAACTAATATTTCAAGTGTAGTCCGAAAGCATCAAAAAGTGAGCAAACAAAATATTTCTAGCAAATGTATTTTACATGTATAAGTTTAAACATATGGTTATTATAATTATTAGTTATAGTTTTGTATTTGAAGAGGGGAAGAAAAACTCTCTACATAGACACAATCCATGTGTTATATACTAAATGAACACAAACTTTTTGTGTGAGCAAAAATGTCTCTGTGTTTATTCAAGGATTCTAAAAATTTGGATTCTCACTGCTTCCAACTTTTAAGCAGTTAATGCTTTTCATAAAAGTACTGTTGAAGTTGAAATTTATATTAATCTATATAGTGCTTTGATTCTTTTCAAAATAATGTATTTTCATTTTGATGAATGTACAGTATGCGCATTGCAAAAATTATGCTGGAAATTCTTTAAATATTTTTCAGAAGTTAGTGGTGTAATTTGAACATTGTACTGCTCAAATAGAAATTTTTAACTTGGTATTTGTATGTTTTTATTCTTTTTCATTCAGAAACCTTTATCTTTCTCTCTTATATTTTTGGGGCCATTTATTTTTATTGTTAGTTTCTATTTATTTTGATTGTTTGCTACAATATTTTGAACTACTATGTATCAGTTATTTCAATTACTTGATATTTTTAAATAACTTGTATTATTTTGCAAATTGATATTTATTCCAGCTTTCTACTGTTGAGGTTTTCTTTAGTTAATATTTTTTAGTTAATAAGTTCAATTAGCGGTAATGGCTTAAATGAAATTATTTAATGATTTTTTAGCTTATGAAAACCATTGTGTTAATTGAAATGACTGACATTTTAAAGACATGCCATGTAGAGTTCTTTATGCTGTGCAGAGTTCAATGTGGACATATTTTTCTCTTTAAAATTTATGTCTATACTATTTAGCTATTTCAGAAGTTTATGTTATGTGAAGTTTTGATGCTTTGTATATAGCTATAGTACTTTTATAAAGTTTTCATCAGAAATTTTCTAACAAAGAATGTTTATTTAAAAGATATTATATATTTCTGTATTGAAAACAAAAAACTGTTGCCTATTTTTTAATTGAAAATCAATACTATATATTTTTTAGAAACACCATTTGTGTGTAACATATACAAGTCTGTCTTTCAAAATGTTATTAATAGTTAAATTACAGATGAAAAAAACATTTTTATGTATTGTTTAATAAGCAAATTTAAAGTGCATGCTATTTTAAGAATTTCTGTAGAACCTATTATTTTCTAATTGCGTTTCTTATATATTTTTATATTTGTTTTCTAGCTTGTAAATACATTTTCTTGTGAGAAATTCCATTACTTTCAAATCATATAAATATTTTAATTACATATTAAAATATTCTTATTTACAAAAAGAAAGAGTATTATACAAACTTACATTTAGAATAAAATTAATTACACTTGCATAGCTAAATACTTGTATTGTTGGGTAAGAAAAAAAGAATTAAAATGATCATTTGATCTAAAAATTTATACTACCTCTCCAACATTTAAAAGCACAATTGCCTGTTAAATTTTTAATACATTTGCTTAATGATTTATTATGGTGAGTTAAAATTTTTTTTTAAAGCTATAAAAACTTTATACATTAAAACATTGTTGCTTCCAATATTTTTGGAATTTATTTTGCTCAACTGTTCAAGATGACAGCTATGCACCTGTATTAATGTATTTCTAGCATTGCTTATTAATTTAGCATGTCATAAGTGAAAAAAATCTGTAATTTTCATTGTGATTTTGGGTGAAATATTTAGAATATTAATTTTAACTTTACAAGAGAATTTTCTCTAATTTCAAGAGCTAGGGAATATTTCAAAAATTAAAAATTTTGTTTTGGAAAATTGTAATTAATGTTTTTGGAATAAGCAAGTTTTGTACTTGTGCAAAATTTGTACGAGTGTAAAACATAAAAAGTTAATTTATTTTTAAATTACGCATTTTGTAATTGCTATTCATCAAGCTGTATTTATTATTTCTCCCATTAAGGTTTGTATAAATTTTACATCAGCAAACTGACTTTATTTTGAAAAACATTCACAGGATAACACAAAGTATCTGAACAATTTAATTTTTAAGGTTTCAAATGCAAGAGGAAAATTTTTTTCTTACCTTAAATGATGAAAGCTTGCTACATTTTCTTTATAAGTATGACTGCTGGGATTAATTAAAGAAACATTGATTTCCCACAAATTCTCTTAATTTAAAAAGTTTATTTGGACATCAATAATGTAACAAGCTATATTTTTAAAAAAATATTTTGTCTCTATGGGTTCAGTATAAAACCCTTAGAGTACTAGGCAGAATGCCAAATTGTAAAATAAATAATTTATACAGGTTTCACAGTTATTTAAAATTTTCTAATACCATCTTACTATATCCTAATAAATTCCTTCTGTGACTTGGAACTGTGTTCATTCAGTTATGTCATTAGTATTTGTCAGTGTGTCTGACATAATTAACCCCTTAACTTGACAACTATCTCCGGTTGAGTTATTTCGGGCTTTTGAGCTAAGTGGTTAATATGGTGACAATTGTTACATACAGCTTTAAAATTGTCCAAAAGTGAAAGATATTTGAAACAGTTACCACATTTCAAGCTTTACTTTTGTACTCATTATCAAGATTACTATATCAAGTTAAGTTCCTATTTTTTTTTATCAGCCAAAGGGCATGCCAAACTACACCAAAGTTTATTAACTGATTCTGCTGTTTAAATATACTTTAATTTCTAGAAATAACTTTAAAGAAAGAAAACTAACCTTTTATTAAAGAAATTTGCTCTTTCTTTGTGATATAATAGCATAAATAACTTGACAAAAGTGCCAAGTATAGCTATCATAGTTTTTAAAAGCTAATTATTTTGTTTAATTAATTTTTAAAGCGTAAAAAAAGTACATATCTGTAATTTTGAGATTCCAACAGATACTTTTTCAGTAACCTCATGCCATATCTATAAGGAAATTTTTCTCTACTTTTTTTACAGTGAAATTTGACTCGTAGCCAATCACTGATTTTTACTTTTATATCTTGTTTTAAATATAGGGACTTCTATTTGTAGATATTTGGTTTTTAAGTATTTTTTGAGGTTGGAAAATTTGCCACCCGTAAAAAAAACTGCGTTTAGTACAAAATCAAAAACGACTGATTTCATTGTTTTTAGAGTATTGTTTATTAATACAGATCAACTATTGGTTTCCACTCGATTAATTCGAAAAATGTTTGTTACCCGCTTCATTTGTAACATTTCAAACATTTATCACATGACCAGCACGATAGTTTAATTTCTATGACTAAGTTCAATCGAACTATTTCTAATCATTCACATAGCAGGTTTCTCTGTTTAATGATGGTGGTGGATATTTTCTAGGAGAGAAATCTAGATGATAAAAACTTGGTTATATATTTATATTCAAGCACTCTGTGATAATTTTATGTAAATAATATGCTGATTGATCAATGATACTAGTTTCTAATAGAGATGTATTTTGAAATTGTTAAAAGATTTTGAGCTTCAAATTATTAACTAGTATAAATGTTAAAAAATACTTTTATCATGTTATAAAAATGTAAAATATGTAATCGTAAGAGCTTAAAACTTTTAAAAAAATCTTAAAAATGAAAATTCATCATCGTTACATCCTAAATCTTTTAAAATAATGATTCTCAATCAAAATAATTTGTTTAATTTCATTTTAAAAGCATAATTTTTAAATAACTTTAATACTTTCAAACATTTAAGACTAAATAATATTTCAGTGATTATAGACATATATCTATGATAAGACTGAAACTCCTCGAATAGAATCTAATTAGAAAGTCACTCTTAAATATTCACCCTTAGCTCTTAGTTGAAAAAAAGCTTATGAATTTTTTAAATTGGTAGGAGAATACAGTACATGTGACCTACCAAAAATGCTAAGTTTCTTCTATGGATAATCCTTTTACTTTAATAGTGACCTAATGTTAATACAGTTAAATTACAGAAACAATCCTATAGTGATCGAAGGGATTTAAAAAATATGAATCGAAGGAGCGTGTTTCGGTTTCACAAGGGTGTTAATGTAAAGTGCGACAAAAAAACCCCCCCACAAAAATGGACCACCCTAAATGACTTTTAATTTAATGATCGAATTTTTACGTTCTAGGACTCAATCTTAATTGGTCTAAGTGGTGACCTCAAATATACTAATTAGGAAGTGAGACCTTATTTAAATTATGAAATCAGACGCATACTTTATCTGAATGAACACCTTTTTTTTCCGACGGATTCGGATTTCTGACCCCTAAAATATAGGAGGTAGCCGCAATCTGTGAAATAGGGTCCCCATAGTTTGGTCATGAGAGTGATCCAAAGTTAGGACCCCTTAATGTTAATTTTACTTTTTGCGTATTTCGTCATATCCCGAGAACTTTTTAAGCGATTAGAAAAATTTTAGCGTACAATTATAAAATTCGTTTTTCCAAAGATGATTCTATACAAAAAATAAATTTGAATAAATATTTATTATTTTATTTAATGATAGTTGGAAGAATTTTCAATTGTAAGGTATAAAATTTTTTACTTTTTAAAGTATGTCAGTTCACGTGACAAAATACGAAATTTGAGCGAATTCTGTAGAATAGTTTCTGTGAAATCGAATATTGAAAATATGACTTTTTCAAAATTACATACTTTAAATGTATACCTTAGAATTCAATTTTTTTCTGACTGTTATTAAATAAAATAACAAATATTTATTAAAATTTACTTTTGCATGGAATTATCTTTTTTATAATTGAGTGCAAAATTTTTTCAATTCGCTTAAAAAGTTCTTGAGATATGGCGGCATATGCAAAAGTATAATTAAAAATGCAATTTATTATGCAAAAGTATAGTTCAAACTTTGGATCGCTGTCCTGACCAAACTATGGGGACCATACTTCCCAGATTGCTTCTACCCCCTATATTTTGGGGTTCAGAAATCCGAATCGGTCTTATGAAAGGTATGTTTATTTAGAGAAAGTACGTCATTGTGTCTAACTTCGTAACTTAACGCCTGCATTATTTAATTAGCATATCTGAAACTGCCCCTCCAACCATTGAATCCTAGAACATAAAGATCCGATCATTAGATCACAAGCTATTTAAGATGGTCCATTTTTTATTTTATTTATTTATTTTTTTCTTTTGGATTGCTGTACCTGAGTGAGTTCACATATTAATTCAAAATTGTCTATTTTAT